GTGTGTGTGTGTGTGTGTGTGTGTGCGTGTGCGTGTGCGTGTGCGTGTGTGAGGGTATTCTGATCACTGGACTGGAGTAACAAATTAATGCTGGGCACCAAGTTCCAGCATTATTACTGAGAGTAATAAAGTATGGAACAGTCCATTCTTACCCTCTTACTGCTCACAGTTGTTACCCGAATCTCCTCTAAAGATAATCAAGAGTTAGTAGCATCATAGTAACCAATTTCCATGAAGACCCTGCATCCTGGAATGTGGGATGCACATAGATTTAAGATTCAAGAAACTTGAAAGCCTCGATGGCCCCTGTGCCTGTCCCTGTGGGGTCCTGGCTTATGCACAGCCCCCTGAGGACGCCCTACCTGCGTGTGCGGTGGAACTGGCACCTCTTCAGGGGGATCCTGGCCACATGCTCCTGCAGCCCCACAAACAGGACACTCTGGCTATGGAGGATCTGCAGGCTCCTGATAGGCTCCCTCCTCCTCACCGGGAAGAGCTCAATCTCCTCCAGCACACAGCTGCCTGAGGTCTGATTCAGGGGTGCCCGGACCTTCTTAATGGTGCCATAATCTGTGAAGACAACAAAGTGGGAAGGAAAAGAAGTAGCTCGGCCATCCCTCAGTTAAGCAGTCTACGCAAGGCACACAGCCATAGCTTTTCAGCCCATAAAGTCATCAGAGCACGCTTCAGGGAGACAGAGGCCTCCTCCATGGGCTACCCTGGATGGAGGCTTCAGGCCCCAGTACTCATTAAAGCTCTGCATGGATGCTTCAATGCAGCCAGCAATGAGAACTCCTCATCCACTTTTTGCTTCTTCAGTTGCAAGCCCAGGAACTGGGAACTTGTTAAACCTTGCCACAGATCCAAACAGCTGCAGATCCAGGAGAGAAAAATCCTAAAGGGGCAGTCCTGGGTCCTTGATGTCAGTAGTACCAATTTTGCTACTCATAACAGACAAAGTGATTGAGAACTGAACACAAGAAAAGGGCGATGTCCCCAGCCTTCCTGCACAGGGAGGGACATCCCTTACCTCTCCTCCTCCTCTCCAATCATCTCCTTCCTCTTTCTCTCTAGGCCTTACTCCTTGGGATGTATTTAATGACTTCATTTTACTAGTTCATTTTTGTGGTTTGGAACATTACTCATTTCTGAACTGACTCAAGTCCTCCTGGCCAGAGGTTTCCTGTTCGTGCATTAGCAGGGCCGAAGGTGAGGGTCCTCTGCAGATGGGCTGTGAGGGATCAAGGGATGGTGGGGTGGATAACACTTGTGTCAAGGAGAGGCACAGAAACTTGAGGCCTATTGCTGCTTGCCTGGGAAGTCCAGTCTGAAATCCAGATATCACAAGTACCTTCAGTTTTTATCACTATCTGAATCCACACATGTAATGAAACCCACCATAATTCTGAGTCCAAATAATCATGATTCATATTTTGTAAACACAGTATACACTTAAGGAGTTATCCTAAAATCAGAAGTAGAATCAGGAACCTTTGGCTTGAAGGAACATCAACCAAAAAGGTAAAAAGACTAGACACACAATTCTTTACATTTTTTTATCTGTACAAATGTTGTTAGAGAAAAGCAGGTGTACATGTGTAGTCATTTCAATGTACTTAAAAATGTGTATCTGAAACCTCGCCTGTGAACATTTTCTTACTATAAACAGGCTGCATAATCATGTACACGGTGTTAGTAATAACTGCTCAAACTTACTTCAAGATAGCTGGTAAATATAAATAAACCCTTCCTTCTATAAGTTGCCTTGGCCATTGTGTTTTATCACAGCAACAGAAAGGTAACTAATACATTCTTTTTCAAATAGAATCAGGATAGGGTACACATGTGATGACCTTGCTCTCTGGTCTCAATCTTCATGCGGTCACAGCACAGCATGGGTCACCCATGGCTCACGATGTGACCTGAGTCTCTTATCTTCAGGTTTCAGCCTCTTTTCTTCCCACTTGGGCCAAAATCCTCCAGGAAGTACGTGTAGAACTAAGACTCATGTGTGGTGGTTTGAATGAGAATGTCCTCCATAGGCTCAGAGTATTTGTAAATTTTGTCCCCAGCAGGTGGTCCACAAGGCATGACAGCACTTGTGAAGTGGAAGTAGGAGAATCAGAAGTTCAAAGTCATCCTTGTTTATATATCAAATTTGGCAGCAACCCAGGATACACAGACCCTGTTTTTGAAAAGCAAACACAAACAAGACGATGACAACAAAAATCTCCAGTTGACTTGTGGGGTAAGATGGCAGATCAGAAGCTGTCTCAGTGCAACATGGTGACTAAGGAGAGTCAGAGTTGGCATGAGAAACAGACTCCAATGCAAAGAGACAAGAAGGGCATCAGTAGTCACAACGGGTGGGTAGAACTGCAGAAAATTATAGAGAAATTGAAGGCTGACACTGGGAAAGAAACATGGCTCCAGCCATGGCTGCCCAGCAGGGGACGGGAAGCAAAGTCTCTAAACGGGGTTTGCTCTTTTTGGACCCACTTCACAACACTCACCTCCACCCTCTTTCCTTTCATTGTTTCATCTAAATTTGCTTTTATGTCTCCTTCCATAACCTCGTCCCTTTTTTATTTCATCCAATTGTTTGTTAATTTTACTTTTATCTTAAATAATTTTAGCTTTATGACATACTACACATTATTCATGCTATTTTCTGTTACCTAATAGTTCATGGTATTGTGCATATATACTTTAATCCAAAATGCAAAGATGACTGCAACATTGAAGAGCACTAGGATATGATCAAGACCAAAAGTTTAAACTCTTTAGTGAAGACAGAGAATCCTAATTAAAATTAGAAATCTTTCAAATCTACCAAATAAATGAATGTGGTGTGTGTGTGTGTGTGTGTGTGTGTGTGAGAGAGAGAGAGAGAGAGAGAGAGAGAGACATTTTGAACTCAAAATAGACAAGAAGTACCTCTACACAACACATTAAAGTAAAATGAGAAGACCACAGAACAAAGGAAGACTATTAAAATATGAAAGGAAAAATCCATTTGTTAAGATAAACCCATCAGGATAGCACCAAATGTCTTAGCAGAAACCCCCAAATCAAGGAAAGCACGCAATAAAAAATTTCAAGTCTTAAAAGTAAGTAAATAACTACCAAGTAAGATTATCTCCAGCAAACTTATCTTAAACTAATGAAGAAATGAAGACATTTTAAGGAAAGCACAAACTGAAGCAATTCACGATGCCATCAGCATTGCTGAAGAGATTGAAACTGTAGAAATGGAGGAGGAAGGAAGTCCCAGTACTGCGAACAGGAAGAAATAAGATTCATGGGAATAATAGATAAGGAAAGAAGAAACAGGAAGAAAATCACTTCTAATCAGCAAGTTTGTAAATTCCTTATAAGAATAGGCAATGATGAAACCAATAAATAATATTTGAATCTACCAGAGAAACAACCATTAAAATGTCAAGAATCAGGCAATGCTTTCTTAATAATAACCACAAATGTAAATGGTCCCAACTTTTAAATTAAAATGCACAGACTAGTCGATTGAATAAAAAACACAATCCAGAGGTCTGGAGAGATGGCTAAGCAGTTAAGAGCACTAGCTGCTCTTGAAAGACCTGGGTTTGATTTCCAGCACCCACCTGGCAGCTAACAACCACTTGTAACTCAAGTTCCAGGGGATCTGATGGTTTCTTTTGATCCATGGGCATTAAACGACATGGTGCACCTACACATATATAGGCAGTACACTCATACACATAAAATAAAAATAATAAATAAAATATTTAAAAAACACTATCAAACTGCTTATTCTCTGCAATTCAGATTCTGATCCCCTAAGTACTGTGTAGCAGAATGTAAACCTTGGAAAAAAAACAGTAACAGCAAAATGTTTCCCAGCTCACTACCCCACTCTCATTCATCCTTGATTCTCTTTATACACGATTTGAGTCAGCAAGGACACCTGCTTTCTTCACGGAACCTGTTGCCAACTGCCATCTTTGAAGCAGTCACTCTCTCACACACAAAGGGTATCCTGCATATACTTAAATAAAATCTATATCTGCAACAACGCTTGATTTTAAAACACTGCACAGCAATGAAAAGAACAGTTCATTACTCAAATCAATATTTACAGGTTATTCCACACGATGGATTTTCAAGTTTGAGTTGAAATCATTGTATTCCACACTCTTGAAATACAAATAGTGATTAAATAACTATCTCATTATGCCCTAATAAACGTTCTCTACTTCTGCCTCGAAAAAATTCAGATATATATTGAATCTGAGGCATTTCTTACAGCACTCAGCTGCGTCTCATTTTTCAATTTGACTGAAGCCTTGGTTTTGAACGCATGAGTACTTTGCACTGTTTGCCAGATTACCATACAAAAAAAAAGAGAAAGAATCTGTATGAAACACCTCATCCCAAATTCAAGATTATTGTATACTATGAATTGCAGTGTTTTTATTGTACATACAAAGCTTTCTGCTCTTATTGAAACTTAATGGTTTAGTTACAGGAAAAATTTAATGTTTTCCTACTATTGCTCTTTGACCTGAAAATATCAAATTAGTGTACTTCGTATTGTACTGCGTCCGAATGTTTGATTTCAAAAAGCACTGCTTCAGTTCACTGAAGAGTTTCATTAAAAATTATTAAATAAATTTTGGCTTTGGATTATCACAGAATTTACAAAAATTTCAGAAGTGGCCACAAACTTATTTGTGCTATTTTATAATACATATTTGTGCAAAGCAGCATTCTTAGCATGATGATCATCAAAGCAAATTATCAATAAACTCTGAAAAACATTGGAGATGCTCTAAACCCTGCAATATCAAATTTCCAACCAATAATTATTTATATAAAAATAAATAAGCATATTTCTCTCATTGTTCTTCTATTTTTTCTTCAATAAATGATAAATTTATATGCAGATATGCAAAACATTGTTTTACAATAAACTTCTCTATTATCAGTACACATGTGATTTGTATATCTACTTCATATGTCTATATACCTAGGATGACTTGAAAATTTCTGGAATGAAATGGGGTCAGTTATGAGTAGAAAAGTTTAAGGATGCTTCTACAAGAAACACACCTCACCGGCAAAGATACATACAGACTGAAAGGGAATCTACCAACACAGTTGAAGGCAGAAAACCAAGTAAGAGTAGCTATACTCATATCTGATAAAGTAGAAATTAAGATGCTAGTCAGAAGACATAAGAAGGTCACTATAATGTAATGAGGGAACTGTCACTGCACACACACGCTGGGCAAATACTGTTACTGTCATTTCCTCTTTTATGTTGAAAACTGAGGCAGGCAAAGGCACATTCAAATGACTGGATTAGTGGAAGGCAGAAATCTGATGTTGGGTAGAGAATGCACAGCTAAAAGTGAATTGTTGTAACAGCAAAGGGTAATTTCTAAATCAACAATCTTTGCCATTAACAAAATGAGCAAAGAGGTAATGAAGATGGTTTAAACAGGCAGAATTTGCACATTGTCACAAGAAACAAAGTGAATTCAAATTAAACATGACTATCTGGAAAGAAATATTTAGAAACTGCTCTC